ACAGAGTACACACTGATAGTACAGAGTACACACTCATACTACTGAGTACAGTCCTGTGATTTCACTGAACTGTCACGAGTCTGACCCCTCACAGTAATCAGATTACCTCTAACAGCAGAGTATTTCCTCAGAACAGTCTGAGCTCCACACTAGAACCTCAGGGTTCTGCTCAGGTGGATGCTGGAGAACATCCTCTGGTCAGATGGAGATCAATGTGTTGGGCTCACATGGAGTCCAGATGTTTGGTGTGAACCTGACCAGGACCACCACAGTGGATCATGGTCCTGACAGTGAAGCACGGAGGTGGCAGCATCATGATGTGGGGCCACAGGACTGACTTTTGTTGCATTTAGTTTCTTCTGTGGGGCCTGTACTTTAATTCGAGCCATTCTCTGCTGTCCTTAGAAGTAATGCGATTACAATAAGACCACAAAGTTCTGAATCTTCTAATGTTTGAATCCTATCACAGGCTGCTCCCTGCTGTTGTTTACTGTATTTCTAACTGGAAGGACACTTCACAACAACCTTCACCATAACGTTCATTTTAAATTTCAAAAATGTGAAACTGTTAAACAGACAGGAACAGTGTTTACTGACCAATCACAGGGCGGCTCCTCACCTGATGATCCAGAAGGAGGCGGGGCTCCAGCTCTCTGCCAGATGGTGGCTTCAGCTGCCAATCTCCTGATGTAAACCTCATCAGCATCCAGTAGGATGTTCTCTGGTTTGATGTCGGTGTGGATGATCTTACACTTAGTGTGGAGGTAGTCGAGTCCTTGCAGCACCTGCAAGCACACAGCCGAGTCACCGAGTCAGTGAGTCCGAGGCCCTGCAGCCTCGCGAGTGATTGTGTCCACAGCGCGTTACCTGTCTGATGATGGTCTTCACACACACCAGAGGAAGTCCCATGTAGTTTGACTTGATGATCCATTTTAACAGCTGATGACCCAAAACTTCCAGAACCATGCAAACATCTGGGAGATGCTGAGGAAACTACTGAGACAGACAGACAGACAGACAGACAGACAGACAGACAGACAGACAGACAGACAGACAGACAGACGAAGGATACGCACTCCATTGACTCCTGAGATCTTGAAGTCATCGATGAGTTGGACGATAGTTTCCCTGTAGGGATCAGAGGGGTCGCTGTCTCTCACCTGGACATACAGACAGACAGGTTACCTGAGTTCGCCTGTCGGACAGGTGAGGAGGATAAAACACTTACACATCGCAGCAGTTTGATCTCATCCAGCGCCGTCTCAGTGTAATGAGGAGCGCTCTTCACCACCTTCAGTGCCACAAAACGCTTCTTCCTGAACACAAGCACATTAACATCACATGACACCACAGTCATGTTGACGTGTACGTTTATTTACGTGTGGTAAACGTCACGCGTGTCGTACTGTAGGTCCCAGCAGAGCCACACGGTGGAGAAGTGTCCCCAGCCCAGCTTCCTGACCACGTGGTACCTCCCATTAAACAGGTCACCAATCTTCACCGGGTAGTAACCGCCTGCAAGACACACCAATGGTGCCATCGTCATCAATACAGGATGTTAATGATTAACCATTTATCAGATGACTAACTGAGCAGAAAAGGACACGCAAAGGCACGTTGGTCTCATTAGCCATTCAGTTTCAAGAACATTGTCCGAGTAAACTCTGGCATTAAATAAATGTCATCGGGCATCGTCTATTAACTTTAACCTCCTCAGAGTCTCTGTCATGGTCCCGTTGCTGCTAAACTCCCACAATGCTCTCTGCTGCCAACATGAACTGTGGTCTCAGTGACGCCTCCTCTGGTCTCTACAGTATTAAACATCAAGAGGCTCCACCCGGTGGAACAACCAGGTACTACAGCTGATCTATGATAAGTGTGGATTTTCTAAAAAAAAAAAAAAAAAGAAAGGCTTGAATCAGATCTCCAGATTATTAAAAATAAATTACTTAAAAAAGATCAGCAGCAAATAAACTTCATTGTTAATTATTATTGATCAAAACAGTCTAATTTACTGCAGGAACTGAGCACTCAAGACGGTCACATGTTCTTATCAATAGGGTAATTGATCAAAGATTCCTCTGATGAACTGACCTTTGCAGTAATCTGATGGGTCCTCCTGCTCCTCGTCATCAGAGCCCAGCAGCTGAGCAGGAGGAGGAGTGAATTCAGCAGGGGGCGGACTTAGCGGTGGAGGGGGCGTGGTCAGTGGTTGAGTAGATGATGACATCACAGGAGGCAGACCAATGGAAGGGCCCAGAGGGTCGAGAGATTGTAAGAAGGAAGCAGGGGAGGTGCAGAGCGGGGAGTAGAGGTGGGAGGAGGTGAAGGTCACTGAGGTCAGCAGGAAGGGATCTGGGTGGGCGGGGCTTAGCGGAGGAGTGGGAGGAGCTTTGGACAATACTGATGTGGAACCAGAGGCATTGTGGGTAACACTGTGAGGTGAGGTTGGAGGTGATTTGAAAAGAGTCCTTTGATGTGATCTGAAAGAATTCTGGGTAACATTATGGCTAAAAGGTGGTGGTGATTGGCTGCGACTATGGGCGAGGCTTTGTGACTTAGTTGGAGGTGACTGGCCTGAGAACTGTGAGGTTTGAAAGGTATTTTCAGGAGGAGGCTGTGCTACGGGAGATTTTATTGTGTCTATAAATGGTGTTGTATGCTGGGGGGTTGGTGACGGAGTTCGATGGGCAATCTGATGGGGCAGTGGGGTATGTTCGATGGTTGGTGTGGTGGTTTCATGTGGGTCATCTGGACCTGTTGGTGAGTTTCCTGGTGCGGTACTGGTGTTTGTCATGCTCTGGGGCAGCGGGGAAGTCTGCAGAGTTGTTGGGGGTAGCTGGGGGTAACTCTCTGGTTGAGTTGATGGCAGCTGGGGGTAACTCTCCAACTGTGCTTCAGGCAGCGGGGGGTAACTCTGTGGGGGTGTTGGGGGCAGGTTGTCATCAGTGTTCAGACTCTGAAGGTCACAGACGTCATCAGGTCTAAAACAACAAAGTACAAAAAGGTGCAACATGAAGCTTCAAACCAGCATCCAACAAAAAGAACTTTTTTTAGGACCCACAAAGTTCTGTTCTATAAACTGATAATATTTGTTTCAGTAATTTGTAAAATTACTGGACAAGACACTGAACCTTGATCCTAAGAGCAGATGATACGACTACGAAGTGGATCATCGACCTTTGGCCTAAGGGATGCTGGTACCAGGTACACTTATGAACCTGACTACATCTAGCCGGTACTGCTCCACCTCACGCACCAGCTCAGGTTATTTCCCCACCAGTGAGGTGACGTTCCACGTCCCCATGACCAGTTTACGCCACCAGATCTTTTTGATGTTCCTGAAAGAACCATTTTGAGGGAACTATTTGAAAAAAGTATTCTCTAAAGAATCTTTTTTGCCAAAGATCCTTAGAGAACCATTTATGACACCTAAAGGCACCATTTTTGTGGTTTATTGGAGGTTCTTTAAAGAATATTTTAAGACCTCTTGCTAGAAGGTTCAAAGGTAGAACAAAGGTGTAAATGCAGCTCGATCAGTGGATCCAGAACAGAACCGGATCTCGAAGCGAACTCTTCTGATGATAAACCGGCAGCCACACCACTTCAGCTGGAACACTTCGCTCATCCTTCCTGAACTTCATACAGAACTGTCTCTGCTCACACGGTCACATCAGAGGCGGCTGTGGTTCAGGTGGTGCAGTGGGTCGTCCTCTAAGGTTGGTGGTTCGGTTCCCTGAATAGGCGAAGTGTCCTCGAGCAAGACTCTGAACCTCAAGTTGCGTCCAACGGCAGCAGCAACTGGCACGGCAGCTCTGAATGCGAATGTGTGTCTACTTTCAGATGTAGGTTGGAAAAAAGCATCAGCTGATATAACTGTAAAAACATCAGGTCCTTCAAAGAACCAGGTGGAACCACACTGAACATCACTGTCCAACATGTAAACAAACCAAACTGGGATTCTAACTCTAAAACCATGGACACGCCACCGCATGAAACACACAACATAGATCATATAACACACACACACACACACACACACACACACTTTAGTCTATTTTAGTGCAGCTCAAGCAAACCTCAACAATGTCTATGACTCAGAGATGTCATGGAGGGCAGCTCTGTGTGTGTGTGTGTGTGTGTGTGTGTGTGTGTGTGTGTGTGTTGTGGGATCATGGTTCAGGTTCTGCTTCTATTCCTGGACTGAGTCTCAGTGGGTCGAGCTCCAAACCTGCTTCAGTCAGCTGAGCAGAAAGTGTTTGACTCAGTTCAGAAGTTTGTCACAAACCAGCTGATTATTTTTTCTGTTTCACAAACAGTCCCACTGGCCTGGTGTCGCTGCCCTCAGTCTGGTCTGACAGGCAGCTCCTCACTGACACGCAAACAGAAACCTGGTGACTCAGACGCCTAAACAGGCACCACAGCGTTCTCAGTTTGAGTCAGCTGGAGACCTTTGCCTGCCAGAGGACGGAAGGAACCAGAGGAACCCTGTGGAGCCCCAGTGGTCAGGAACGTATTCAGCAGGGCATCCCAACTGCTTGAACTAAACTTTAAAAATTTCTCGTTACCTGCTCCTGTCTCATGTTTCTTCACTGGGGTTCATGTTTCTCTGCTACATGAAGTCCTGCAGCTCTGTGGAACCAGAACAACATGAAGAAGGAGAGATTTCTGATTTTACAAAAATCCAAATCTGAAAACTCTGAATATTTGTCACACGACGGCCGGCTGGGTCGGTCCGGGAGAGTCGATGAGAACTGATCATGTTCTACAGAACACAGCTGAAGAAAATGATTAGTTTTAGTGACTTTTTAAATGAGACACTGAGGCTGAGGTGATTTCATAAAATAGGATTTTAACCTCCGGTCTGTTTACTTTTCATGATGATTCTGCCAGAACGCTTATTATCGGGGGACTGGTCCTGGTGTTTCACTTTCTGGCTGATGAATGGTGTCAGTCTGGAGACTGAAAGCCATTCAGGCCCGACAGCAGGTTCTGGGCTTCAGCAGGGGAAACGGGAGAAACCTGCAACCAACCGGACCCTGTTCTCGTCTTCACTGTCACTTTGGTCTGAATTCAGGTGCAGACGGAGGACGGATGGATAGTTAGTTAGTTAGTTAGTTAGTTAGTTAGTTAGTTAGTTAGTTAGTTAGTTAGTTAAAAGAGCTGAAGTCAGACTCAGACAACTGAGTTGGTTTCATGTGTTTCCACGTGAAACTGGATGTTCAACTTTAGAGGAACTACAAGATTATTTGGGCTCTGGAGGTGGTTCGATGCTTTTTGGTGAATTCAGGAGGTTTTGATTTTTTCAAAGAGAAATGTTTCATGAAATTTATATTGAAAATTATGTTTTGCTCCTATTTGTTCAAAAGGAAAAAAAAAGTATAAATTATGATGCACATTTCCTTAAAAATGTTCAAAAAGTAATTCATGAGGTCCTGATTCACTGTTTAATTAATGTAATAAATGAATGTAGTGACAGAGACACGGTGAGGAAGAGACTGACTTGGATTGAAACTCGCCCAGTGCGCAGGACACACTAAATATAGCCTCTGACTCTCTGTGTGTGTGTGTGTGTGTGTGTGTGTGTGTAGCCGCTGGGTTCTTACCGGGTCTCGTCTGCTCGGACTCTCCGGTGCTTCTTGCCTCTCCGCCGGTGTTTCTTTGCGGCGGCGGCGGCGGCGGCGGAGTTTCCGGGTCCGGCACCGACTGCTGCTGAGGATCAACAGCTTCATTAAGTGGGTTCAGTCGCTCACCAGACTCCATTCAAAAAAGGTGGAAGTTTGTGAGGACGCTGCTCTACAGACCTGCTGTGACTGCTACAAACACACGTGATGATGTTACAGCCGACAGAAGGCAGCAGCAGCCTCATCGGAACCAAACCTGATCAGCTGGCACGTCAATAAAATGTTCACCAAACTTGATTCACAAAACTCCTCATTTTAGTTCCCTTCCCCTGTTTAAATCACAATAACACCTGTTGACAGCTACCTGTCTCAGCCCTCCAGTTCGGTCTGAACACACACACACACACACACACACACACACACACCAGGTTTGGATTTTCCTGAACATGAAAGCGAACTTGAATCACGCAGTTCTGCTGCAGGGAGGCTGGAGCCCCCAGAGGTGATGAAGAAATAAAAGTTCAGATTTCAGCTGATCAGAAGTCATGTGGAGGTTCAGCCATGCGCCGATTTGATCAGCAGAGGTTTGTTTACAGAAACAAACTCAAGCTTGTTTCCAGCAGGGAGAAATAAACCGCCGACGAGGCGAATGTGGGTTAAATATGAGACTTTTTAAAAGGAGTCTGGCGGAGAGCTGCGCTGAACCGAACAGTGCGTGTCACAGCCTGGTACCGTTAGCTCGGGCTAGCTAGCTTAGCAAGTCCAGCTGTGGATTCATTGCACCGAGTCACCGAACCGGGTCACCCAGCCGGGACCGGCCTATCTTACCTATCAACATGTCGGCTCCCGGTCCTCCTACCGAACCGGGTCGAAGCGTCTCTCCCGGCCCGGCTGGCAGATCTCTGCCGGTTCTGTTGACTCCTTTAGCCGCCGGAGCTCCCCCAGGATCAGCCGCTGAACCCCGCAGACGGTCCGGCTGGAGAAGGTTCCGAGGATCCAGACAGTGACCGGGTCAAAGCGGAGCAGCGTGGCCCCGTTAGCCCGTTAGCCCCGTTAGCTCCGAGAACAGCTGACGGTCTGCTGTCAGTTAGCCGTTAGCTCCAGCTGCAGCCTGCAGGGTTCGGCCCGGTTCGGTGCCGCTCTGTGCCGGGCCAGATCCGTTCCTGTGTCGGGTCAGTGCAGGGTCCGTACCGGCTGTGTAGCAGGTCAGTACCGGCTGTGTAACGGGTGCACGCGGTTATTCTGAGTGTCTCGGTCCGTTCATGGACTCAACAGCTGCTGACAGCTGACACCGGACACCGGGTTGTGCGCATGCGTAGTGACCAGCCACGCTGAGCCGAGCTAAACTGGGAGCAGAGGATGAACAGAAACACAGAACATTGATTTAAAAATAAATTATAACCAAAATATATTTGAAAAATTTACAAAATTAAATTTTAAATTAAATTAAATGACATATTTTATTTTAAATAAAAAAGAAATACATTTAATAAATAAATTCAAGTCAATTCCAAGGCAAATTAAACTAAACTAATGTAAAGTAACTTAAATGCATACTGGCGGAGCTAAACATGGACCAATGGAGGATCAATGGTAAAACTAAAAGTCCTGGAA